GCACCCCTGATCCTGGAGGTGGCCTGGGACCCCATTGCTATGATACTTGGACAGTCTGGGCAAGGCCTTGCTCCACAGCACTGCACAAGAGGTGATGGGTCGAGAGCAGTTGATCTGGGCTCTGGCACTGGGGCCACGAGCTGTCTCAGGCCAGCCTTATTCCCAAGGCCCTTTCTTTGTCCTGTTCTGTGGGAAGGGCAGGCTGACCCCTCCACTGGTCACCTGGCATAAGGATTGTGGGCCAAAGGGCACTGGTTGGGTTCAGACAGCCCCATAGAGCCCCATTCACAGAGGGCCTGGTGCTGCACACCCAGCTCTTCCGCCCGAAGAGCCAGGTCGTGATGGAGCTCCAGTAGCTTATTAGAGCTCAAAATTTCTGTGTTGGGGCTGGCTTAGGCATGTCAGGCAGCTCTGGAGTGTACCTGTCACCAGTGGGCCTCTGGGTGCATCCCCACGCAAGCAAGGGGAAGTGCACAGAGCCCTGTGCATGGTGGGCTCAGGGTGCGCACTGGGTAGTGGTCTCCCCACAATACCTTCATTCTCACTCACCCCCTGGGCTTTGTATCCCCCTCAGTGCTGTCGGGACTTATCTCAAGAGAAGAAATTGAAGGTAACAGAAGCTGCTTCAGGAGCCGTGAGTGCTGCCCTGGCCACATGGCCGAGGCCCTGCCAAAAGCCACCACTCCCTCGCCATGAGGGGTGACACCACACTGAGCATAGGGAGGGCACCCTGGGGATGGGGAAGGAGTTCTGGGCAGGTAGGCAGGGTAGGACTCAGTCGCTCCTCCCTAGCATGCCACCACCCCGTGAAAGCAATGCTGGTTAACGCTGGCGGGACAGGAACTGGCTGATCGCAGGCCCAGACCCTGCTGCCTTCTGAGGCCCTGCAGCATGGTAGCAGGTGGGAAGGCTGCAGCACCCCCACAGCCTGGCTCTGCTCCCAGGTAGAGCCCATCTCCCCTGCCATCTAGAAGCTAAGCCTGCTGCCTGCTTTCTGCCCCCTCTCCTTTGTGGTCAAGCTAGCTCTGCCTTCCCTCTTAACTTGGGGCACAGGGGAGGAGACACCCAGCCCTGCCCAGTCCCTGACATTTCCCTTCCCAGCCTGGCAGTGCCGGCTCACCTTCTCTTCCCTCTGCCAGTTGGTGAAGAGATTGAAATGACCCCCATGGTGTTCGCCAAGGGCCTGGCCGAATCAGGCTACTGGGGGGACAAGTTCTTTGGGCGCATCATGTGTGAGGACATGGAGGTGGGTGACGGCTTCCAGCGCAAGGCGTGCCGCGTCCGGGCCATCTATGGCCTGGAGCCCATCTTCGAGTCTGGCAGGACATGCCTCATCAAAGTGCACAACCTCATCATCTTCGGGACCAAGAATGAGAATACACTCATTGAGAAGAACTATGACATCACCATTCAGGTGGGTGCCTCACTTCACCCTGCCTTGCCCTGGTCCCTCTGCCTGCAACCTGGTGATGGCCTGAAACCCCCTGCTTGGTGGGAGCTAAGGGATATGTGGGATAGTTTCACCTTCTCTGCCTGACCTAGCATTTCCCCACTCCTGGGGCTGCACCTGCCCTGTTCCTGCTCCAGCTCAGCAGGCTCCTCCCACCTGGCCTGAGTCCTGCAGGCTGCCCTTTCCTCAGCTCCTCCCTGCTCTTAGCCCTTGCCCATCAAGCCTGCTCAGTTCCCCTGGCTTCTGCTCACCTGTTCACTGACAGCGCCTACTTAGCTGCCACATCATATTTTCATGCGTGCCCTGTCTGTTTGCTCACTGCCTGGGCACTACAGCAAGGCCTACCATTGCTCTTCCCAGCTCCCCACTTGTCCAGTGCTCACACTTACCCTGGGCAGGCTGGGTGGCTGGACCTCTGGTGGGTCCGACTTCAGCCCTGCAGGTTGGGGTGTTCTATGCTGCCCCATGTCCATTGGGAGGAGAGCAGTGAACAGGACACAGCAGCTGCCATGCCAGTCTCCAGTAGGTAGGAGAGGCTATCTGAGCAGTGCCCCATAGGGCTGGCAGGCCTCAGGGAAGGGCAAGGGCAGGGGCAGTGACTTCTGTGCTTCAATCCCAGGAATGCAAAATCCAGAACTCCAGCCGGGAATACTGCAAGATCTTCGCTGCTGAGGCACGGGCCATCTTGGACTTTGGGGCAGTGCCTGAGTAAGTCAGGACTCTGCCTTTCCTCCATGGACCCCTACTGCAGGCCAGGGAGGCAAGGCCCCTTCCTACCATGGGCATCTCTGTAGGAGGATTGAGGGACATCAACCATAGGTGGCATAGCCCCCTCCCACCCCAAGTGCCACTATGAGGCTGAATGCGCACCATGATCTAGCCAGGCTGGGAGGAAAGTCCCCCACCCCAGGGGATGGGATAACTGCTTACTGCTAGCATGGCCAAGTGCTGTGCAGCTCAGGGAGGCTACTGGGCTAGAGGGCCCTTGGGTGAGCCCTGCCTCACCACCCCATGCTGACCCTTGCCACTACCCCCTGCCCAGGATAATCCCGCTGTACTTGATTTATCGACCTGCCAACAATATTCCCTACGCCACCATGGAGGAGGACCTGGAGGGGCCCTTTGAGCGGTACTGTGTCAGGGAGCGGGACGGCAGCCTGGCCATGAGGAGCACGTCAGAGATCTCACAGAAATGCTGCTCCTTCCAGCACTGGCTGTACCAATGGACGAATGGCAACATCTTGGTGACAGACATGGAAGGTAATGGCAGAGGCTACCACCCAAACAGAGAGGAGGTTCTTGCTCCTCTGTGCCATGCCCCAGGGCCCAGGATGGTATCCTCCCCAGGGGAGGAGACCTCTGCCACCTCCTGGGAGTCTCACCCCTGGACCTAGGCTCCCTGCAGTGGCTTGATCTAAGGCAGGCTGGTGTTCCCTTTCATTGCAGGTGTAGGGTGGAAGATCACCAACGTGAGGATTGCCACAAAGCTGAAAGGGTGAGTGACTCCAGGGAGCTGAGCCGGACTCCTGCCTCATGGGGACTGAGCAGCCTCAGCCTGGTCCTGGCTGCCTGCCCCAGGCAACAGGACTGCCTGCCAGCCTCTATACTAGGTTGAGGGAGAAATGATGGCGCAGTCAGGGGTGTAACCACCCCAGTAGGCATGAGCATGGGACCCCTGTCCTTGCCCCTCAGCCAGCTGGGCACCACCCGCTCTATTCAGTCTCCAGCAGAACTCTCCATCCTGTTGCTGTCCTTGGGAGTCAGTGCAGCATCTCCGTGTATGGTGGTGGGTGGGAGGGGAAGTGAAGGGATGCAATGAGAAGGGGAACATGTATGAGGCAGCTGATGGCAGAGTGCCATAGCCCATGATGAAGCGCCATGGCCCATGCTAATGAGAGTGCAGCGGTTCCCTAGGAAATGGGAGCCTTCGTAAGCAGGAGGAATCACAGAGACCCCAAGCATCCCAATCAGGGGAGAAGGAGCCTGGGGCAGCTGCCCTTTGGAGCCTGGGAGCCCCTTTGCACATGCCTGGGTACTGAGCATCGCTGTTTGCTGGCAGGTACCAGGGGCTGAAAGAGAGCTGCTTTCCCACCCTGCTGGAGCAGTTTGCTGTTACCCACCAGTGTAACCACTACTGTGAGATCCTGGGCCTGAAGACCCTGGAGGCTGTGCAGCAGCCAGTAAAGTCCAAGGGCTCCAAGAGCCCATCGATGGGCAGGAAGGCTTCCTCAACCCAGTCCAGCCCCCAGCTGCAGAAGAAGGGCCTGGCGAGCCCCCAGGGCACCCGCAAGGGTACGGTCAGCCCCAAAAGCTCCCGGAAATCTACTGAGTCAGGGGAGGCCCAGCTAGCTGTGAAGTCCAGAACTGGGGAGAGCAGCAGGTCCAGCCGGCTGCAGTAGGCAGAGCCTGCCTGGCGGGATCGCCGAGCCCATGGGCCGGGGGAGGCAGCCTGCTGCTGCGCACACTTGGGAAAAGGGACCCCTACAGCAGCGGCCAGTGCATCTCCTCCCACCAGCGCCCCGCCATTTGCATCCTGTGTGTGGTGTGCTAATGAAGCAGCAACCGGGCGAAGGACACTAGAGCAACCTGGGAAGTAGCCTTGTGGGCCACAGCTGGCTTGCTGCATGACTGGGCCTGTGGAGTGGGGCAGGGGGAGGGGTCTTGTTATCTCACACGCTGCTGATTTATACCTCTGTAAAGGGAAAGCCAAGCTGGGGCAGCCGAGCCTGCGAGGCAGGGGCATGGGGACAGCCCACTGCCTGCCACTGACCCTGCGGGTTCATCTTCCAAAGCCCGTCTGGGCCGTGCCGGCTTTGCGTTCCCTGCCTCAGCACCAACACTGAACCTGGTGCTCTCCGGGCTGCTGCAAATGCCCCTGCTGCTCCCCCTTTCCTTCCCGTCAGGGCTGTTTGGTGCTGGGTGGATCCAGCTGCCCAGGAGGGCAGGCAGACACACTGGCAATGGATGCAGCCTCTCCCTGCCTGCATCCCTCCCTCCTGAGCAGTGACCCAGCACGGACGTGGGCTCCCAGTCAGTGGTATCTTGAGTTGTTCCCTTTGGCTCCAGCTTTTCTCTACTTGGGTTCATGGTAGCCTCGCACCCCAACTTGGATGGTTCCTGCCCTGTGTACAAGCCCCTACTATGTTGTGACCCATGCCAGCACAGCCAGGCTGCACCACCCCTGCATGTCTAACCCACTGTGCCCTGCAGGGAAGCCCTGAATACTCACATGGAGCCGAACAAGGGTATTTGGAATGGCAGCCGTTGTGGTGCCCCGCGAAATGCAGCAGTGGAAAGCTCCCAGTCCACCAACGTGCTTTGCTGGTGCTGTTGCCTAGGGAGTTTGTGTGCGTCAGCTCACGCGCCAGTCACCATGGTAGCTAGGTACCAGCCGTACCAATACAGAGAGGCAGCTGCTTGCCGCAGCAGGCAACAGGAAGTTCAAGCCTCCCAGGAAAAAAGTGTCAAGTCTCTTCCTCCTCCAAGTGGAGATGGCCCTCCTGCTGA